ATACAACTCACTCTTTTCTTTTCTTGAAAAATCATACGCTTTATACGCCTCACGCTCCTTTATCTGATGAATAAGCCTGCCCGGCAGGTAAAATCACAGCAACTACCCGAACAAGGCGCTCACCAACGCTTACGCCGCTCACGGCCAGAAAAAATTTTCCTTTGTTTGCTATGCAGATCCCTCAGTGTAACCATCAAAGCACCGAGCGATCTGGGGGGTGTGTCACGGAATTCACCGTATAGTGTAACCCTACGGTATTAATCCTAGTACTCCTCCGGAGTACTCATTCCCATGATTACTAAAACTATTTCACTCAGTTCATTTGTGTACCCTATATACCTAATTAGGCGACTCCATCGCCTGATCAGGGTATATAAAGCAGGTATGATCCTTATGATCACACCTCAAGTCAATCTAGTTTATTATCACTCTATATACCTATCTCCTGATCAAAGTGACCATTAGACATAGCTATTACCTCCGTGATATATACTCATTTGAGATCAAGTATATAATATAATTAATAATATTCAAAATGTATAAAGCTCTATAGATATTCAGGATCGAGTATTTATTGACTTGTATTTAGAATAGATCTCTATTTTCGAGTTGATCTATTTGCTCTACTTTCAAGTATACACCTTTTTATATATATATTATAATCTAAGGGCCTTATTCATTCTTCTTTAAATCTTCTTGAAGGTTTTAGTTATCGATTGGCTGATATTGATTGTATATATTGTGATTTTGTATAATTGAATTTCAGTATAGTCTTGATTCCTATAAACAGATTATATCCAGCTAAGCTTCAACTGCTAGCTATAATAATATAATATAATTCGCATATCCCCAGTCTACATTCGCCCAAGCAATAGTGAGACCTTTATTCCTTTAAGTATACTTATCAATTATACTACTTATAAAGAGAATCTAGATACAATATTTATCGTTATAAAAATCTCTATATTGTTTATCTCCAAATCTATTAAAATAAAGACTTTTTCTATTAAAGCTTTTATATTAAAATTCCGCTAGCTTTGACTACAAGCTGAATATATATATAATATAATTAATGCAATCGGCAGACTTATACTAAGCCTATACAGATATTTACTGAAGCATTCATTCTTATATACTATAATCCTCGCCCCCAGAGTAACCAGGGTTTCTGTGATTGTTATTTTAGAAGGTAGAGATGGTTTAGAAGTGTAATCCGCTTTGTTTGTATCTGCTTTGTGTAGTGTTTTATAGTCTTTTCTGCCAACAGCTCTGATTGTAGCTAATTCCTTTGCGATCAGAACGATTCGTTGTTTATTTATTTATTTATTTATATTAATTTACATCCGGGGGGCAAGCCACAGGGGCTCGCCACAACCTCCTAGGGAATATTAGGGATGGATTAAACTAACAATTCTATATACATACAATTGCCGGCATAGCTAAGTGTTCCGTTCTTCTACAGCTATGATGCTAATAGCAAGCAGAGCGGCCACGCTACAAGCGCTCTTGCCACTCCACTTTATTCCAATTTGTAAGTTCGGGCTGTCCAATTCACTTTATGTTAAATAGTTTAGAGGTTGTTTGAAGCCTTTATGAAAAGGCAAGGGTTGTTAGCCAATAAAGGCTAAAATGATTATAGGCTGGTAAAGGCTAGAGTGATTGGATTATTGAAGGCTGAGGTGATTGTAGACTGTTATAAGCAGGCAATTATTATTGTCAAGAAAAAGAGGTATATTATATTCGCTCAAATATAAATAAAACCACTTTTTGATAAGGAGATGGGGTGGCGGTAGAGCGGAGGCTTTTTTATATTAGGGCTAGAGGATCGGGAAGGGGGTACGATACCCTTCTTTGATTGTATACGGATAATAAGCTATAATTTTGTAAATAACTAGGCTTCAAAAAGACAGATATCGATCGGGATATGGCTCTGAGCAGAAGTGGGCACCAATCACTTTACCACTAAGCCAGCCACTCCTTACAGAGAACAATGATCTTTTTGTTCGATTCGTTGTTTAGTGTAGACCCTAGAAGCAACTGGACAATTAGAATAGCCAGCACGGAAGGGCCTATGACAATTAGTGTATTGAGCTACTCTAGTATATTACTGATATATAAGTACCTCTTTATACTTAGTATTTAGTTTATTATATATCAAGTATCTTAGGGCTTTATTATAGATAAAGGGGTTACAGTACTCTAGGCAGTTAGTATTATGAAATTGAATTTCCCGGGGTTTGTCTAGGAGAATCAAGTAGGAGCTATTATTGAATAGTCGAAATTGTGGTATTATAATATTGAAATTAATAATCCAGGTAGCTCTTTTAGTAATCAGATTAACCCCGCTATATGTCAATCTGTAATTGATTAACTGCTTACCAATTTGAGCTGTAATCTCCTTCTTGATAAGCTTAATGGATATAAAAGCAGGAGCACCTTTGATGTGATAGAAATCGTATGGTATTTGTGGGACTATATATATAAACCATTTTTCTAATCTATATATACTTATTATATAAAGAGTTTTAAGTACCCGCTCAACATTTTCTGTTTTTATAATCTCCTCCCAACTAATACCAAAACTATACCTTAATATCCAGTCTATATTGTTTCTCTGAAAAAAAGGAATCTCTATTAGTATAATCCTAGTAACTATTTCTTTTATTCTAAGTCTTAATAGAAATAGGCTAGTTTCTGAAAACAGAGCTTCCCCGCCAGTTATTATAAGGATCGTTTTCTCAATCCAATCATTCTCCTTTTTGAGTCTGCATGCTCCCGAATGATTAGTGTTCATACTTCTATTAGGAGTAGAGCGCATTATATTAATAAAGCCTGTAATAGGGTTTGCTGTCTCAGGCCTTATCTGAGTTTTCAGTATATCAATATAGATTTTCTGTGTATTGCTTTCTAACTGTAATTACTCCATTGCAGACTTTCTCCCTTAATCAAGGGTAGTTTCTATTACTCCTAGTAGAACAGAAATGATTATGCTTTTAAACTTTACGGTGAATTGCATTGTTAGCTTTAAAACCCTTATACAAGCTTATCTATTAGCATCATAAATGTCTCGATTACCTTCCATCTCTCCCCCTCTATCTTATCAATCCTTTCAAATTATTTCTTGATTATACTAAGGGCAGAGTCTGTAAGTGATCTTATAATTGGTAAGGGCTATATACCAGCCCCTAAGATATTGATAACTGTTTAGGGGAGAATGCCCCCTAGGTTGAGGAATTACTCAATACGCCAAAGGTGTGTATTGCTATCAGCGTAGTGAGAGCCTCCTGTGGTTACAAGGTTTGATAGAATTAAGCCTGCCGGGGCAGGGGAAATAAATAAGGAGTATATATGAATCGTCGTAAGCTTCTCAATTAGGTTCTCAGCAATATAACATTCTTTGATATAGAGATTAATAGCTTATTAAAGGAAATCGGATATTTTTCTTTTTAGATTATAAAGAAGAGTTCTTTGATTAATGATTTCTATTTATATAGTTAATAATCTAAATCTGTAATATTATACTAGGAAGTTTCTTTGTTAAATATTATTAAACATAACCTAATATTTATACTCAATTCATACATAATTGACTTCAACCGGATTCTTATAAATAGCTATGAGCTGATCAATCAATTGCTATCCTGTTAAATAGAGGACTTGAATATATAACAAAAATATATGTTTTTATACCTCTCCTTCTATTTGATTTACTATATAAAATCGCCATTACACTTTCAAAATAAATGTTACGTAAGCGGACACAATAGGAGTTGTAAGCTTTACCACTACGCCACACACGCAATCTGTCCAAAAGGCACAGTATCAGGGATTGTTTCCTGATAGCTTACTACTATATATATATCCATATAACAATAAACGAATTTTTATAAAATTCGAATTACTCAATAACTAATAGCTACCAAAGACTTGCTTTCGGCTTTATATTATCTTTAAGTTTAAATAAAAGATTGGTGAGCTTTGGAATATATAGATATTTTATTGTAATAATAGATAAATGAGAATAAAATGTTTAATGAATTTGTGGGTTGCTTGATAGAATAATTAGGTTTGAAAGGGATCTACTATTAATATTCAAAAAGGATCATTATGAAGATTGACTTTACGAATAAAGGTTTTTCTTATTCTTTCTTTTTTTGGTAATAAGAAATACCCTCTTAATAGAATCAATTGAAATATTAGAAATCCGAATTCTGTAATTTGCAAAGAAATCTACATAATATTATTATCAGTATCTTGAAGGTTGAGATAGGTAAATAGTATTAAGATTATACTATAGCAATTCGTCTTTAAATCTTACAATTTCGTTTTATAAATCCTCAAAGTCTTTAAGGATTAATATTTGTTCTTCCTATAACAGGAGAATATGTATTGACATATTATTTTCGAGAGTTAATACCTTGATCGAAAAATCGTTTCCAAATTGTTTACTCTTTCTATATCTATTAGTATTTATATTAGAATTATAAGAACTGTAATTATCACTCTGTTGAAATTAACTATTATTAGCTGAAAGCATTTGGCTAATAAAAGAAGAAAGCGATAAAGTCCCTTTAAGGTAAATAGATCGGATATGATAGCAATACTTGTAACTCTGTATATTAGAGGTTTGTTGTCTTTTATCAAATAGATTTACTCGAAATCAGCCCTCTTCCTATAAGTAATATCGAACGTCCTCGATATACCCAAGAAGGTATTATAGTTATAAGGTATTATTTAATCAGCCACCAGATAGCCATACGATCATATAATAAATTGTAAATAATGTAACACTTTGCCTTAAAAGAATTACAAGAGTAGAATATAATTTATTCTTAGAATCTATAATTACAGAATCGGGAGCAAAGCGCTTGTAGAGCGCTTCTATATACTAGCTATATACATGTGATCGTGCATGTACGCAAGCGCGCACGTGAGTGATCGCAGCTGCGATTGGGTGCGATCCGTGACAATATGTATGTCCACAAACCCCCTCCCCTTCCCTAGAAAGAACCCTCAAAACTGTACTCCTTTTTCCGATTCCAAATCTCGCTAATCTCCTTCCCCACCTTTCCCTTTCCCCTTCTCCATTCCCCTCCCTCTCCCCTTCCTCCCCCCTCCTCCAAACCCTCCAACCTACAACCCACAAACCCCACTCCCCACCAACCTCGCCCTCGGGTAAAAATCCTCGGCGCACCCCCCACGATCTGCACCGCCAAACTTCCACTCCCATTCGTTGTATATGATCCACAAGTTAAGATTTCCGTGACTTGTGATGTTGCTGAAAATCCCGTTTGGGAAGTGGTGAGAGTGAGGTTGGACGCTTTGAGAGGAGGGAGTGTTAGTTTGAGGTTCTGTTTTAGGGGGGAGAAGTGATATATGAATAGAGATGAGGTTGAATTGGAGGTTAGATCTTGATAAAAGGATAGAGAGCAAGGAAATGATGTGAGGGATATACAGTAGAGAATAATGCAACTGCATGTAAATCAATATGAAGATGAAAAGAAATAACCACATACCACTCCCCGAAGCCCCTACATTACTAAACACCGCAATGATTTGTTTTCCCGTAAATCCCTTTCTCATCACAATCGTATGCGAATCGCTATAGACCGGATATGCTTTATATGTAAGATAGGTGGGATCTACATAGATTGCCTGGTTGCGGATTTGGTTTACGGATGCGATGACTATGGTTGTGAGTGGTGTTAATGGAATCGCTTGGTGAGATGATAATTTTGAAGAGGGGGATCGGAAGGTGAGGTTGGGATTAGAGAAGGATAATCGGAAGGGATAAACTCACGCTTGTAGTATACTCCTGTTTGGGAATATGAATTTGAGTTCAGCCAGAGGGCTTCGCGGTTATTGGGCACGCCGTTTCCGGATAAATGTTGTTCTTGACCTTGGTATACTGTGGAAAAAAATCCCACGGTTAGTTTTGCCTCTCAAGTTTCAAGATCGAAGATACTTATTTTCTAGAAAAATGGGAAATGAAATAGGAATTTGCTTACTGATCGGTACCCCATCCGCTAGAATCGTAAAAGCAATCGCATTTTTCGCAAGCGCAGCATCGGATGTCAAAGAGGCAAAACGAGCTACATCGTGATTTTCGATAAAGGAACCGAGAAGCGTGGTGTCTGAACAGGTGGATTTCATCGTGTTGATTCCGTTTGCGAGGTTGGATATGCTACCGGTTGTGGATTGGAAAGCTTGGGTTATCCAGTAGTAGCTAAATGAAAGTTAGTGGCGGCATTTTATGTAGCTCTCATAGAAAGAGAGAGGAGTAAAGAGAGATCGTGGAGAAATATCTCGAAAACTTACGCAGGATAGTTAAGAACTCCATTCATGTAATTCTGGTACGGACATACATATGTCGGGTCGCTATTGTAAATTTCTCCAACAATATATACACCCGCTATATTCACCATTAGCTTAATCCTTCCGTCATTCTACTTCTACTATCCCTCTTCCATTTTTCGACACAAATGAAAAACAACTCACCAGCACTTTGAAAGCTCGGGAAAAATCCCACTCCCGTCTGTTGCGCACTGTCAACTCTCAACCCATCAATCGAATAATTCGCCACCAACTCTCCAATCCACGAATTCCACTCTGCCTGTACATTTGCATCTTCTGTGCGCAGATCAGGGAGTGAGACGATGTTATCGCCTTCCCAGCAGACTTTGATGGAGGTGACATTGTTATAGTCTATGAGACAGGGGGAATGGTAGTATGATTTCTGTTTGTGTTAGATTTGGAGAGTGTGGAGACTTCACAAAAGCTTTTGGGGGTGTATCCGGGGAAAATCTTGAGGAAATGGATTCAAGTAAGAAAAGAACGCACAGAATTAAATGGGGTGTAGATACTATAATTCACACTCGATCCACTACCCATATATGCCATGTGATTTGTCACAACATCAACCATCAAATACATACCTCTAGCATGTAGCTATTTCACAATTACATCAGCAAACCACTCTCAACATATATATCAGAGAATACTCACAGCAGCAGACAACGCTTTAAGATCTGCCGAAGTACCAAAATTGGGGTTTACTTGGTAAATATTTTGGGCCCAGTAGCCATGGTAACCTGAACCATCCTAATTCGTGTGTTAACATATTTCCATTAACTCCGAATTCAGGGACCGGTTGAAACAATCATTCAGGCTTCGTCGAGTCCAAATCGGGAACGAGCAAAAGGTGATTAGAACATACCACACTATCTCCCTCGATATTTTTCACAATTGGGGAAATCCAAATCTATCAAGATTGTATCAGCATTATTCCACTAGACTTCCCTATTTTCCCATCCTCTTCCCAATTTTCCTCTGCACATCCACTCCATCCCACCCCCATCCCACATACTCCCGCGATAAAGAAAAAAGAAAAAAAAAAACTCACAGCCGTAAACCCCATACTCTGAATATAATCCAACTTCGCCACAATCCCCTTCCACGAGCCTCCACAATACTTATTCACATTACACGCCGCAGTTGTCGATCCATCTGTGCGTGCAAAGCGATCTGTGACAACTTGGTAGATAGATTGTGCGCGCCAGTCTGCGGCGGAGAGGGCGGTGATGGGAGATAGATTGAGGGAGAGGAGGAGGAGATGCTGGAGGAAGATGATGGGTTTCATGGTGAGATGAGAGAAGAGAGGAGGGGGGTGAAGGTCGGTATACTATGGGATTGAATGGATGTGATGGGATGCGAGAGTCTGATATAAAAATCTCTCTCTCACACACACAAACAGAATATAATCCAGAATCCCGGAGCGGAGACGGAGCAGAGACGGAGCTAAGAGAAGAAGAAGAAGAAATCGATATTGGTAATCCTGAGACCAAAAAAGTGAAACACAAATCCCTGTTGGGAAAATGAACTGAAAGTCAAAAAAAGCACATATCACCCGAGGGTTCCTGTCACACTTATACCCTCAAACACTCACACTCATGCAGTCGACCATAAAGTGCATATAAATGTACCCCGAGTCTGGATATATTCATGTGTGCCTGGGTATGCGTATGTATGTATGTATGTATGTATGTATGTATGTATGTATGTATGTATGTATGTATGTATGTATGTATGTATATACCCGTCCCGTTCTTGAAGGGGAATAGTAGAAAATTCAAAGTGATGAAATGACATGCGAGTACGAGAGATTTTTCTCACGGGAAGAGAATTCAAGGATGGTCGATATTATAGGCTCCATAACCCAAGCGTGTTGGGTTTAGAAAGATCATGTCGAAGAATGAGAATACTTACCACGTTGTCATGATAGATACGAAGGAATTTTCAAGTCAGACATTATCTCGCCGATCTTTCAACGTGATAGTGGTTCTATTTAAACTCAAATAAATCAGATGTGAGCGCAGGAAGTTAGAGTTTCGATAAGATATCATCAATCAAATAGAATTTGCAAACCGTTGGGAAAGAACGTATAAACTTCGATTTACATGGCCATGCCTGGTCAATGTTAATTTCCATCAAATTAACAATATATGTTAATCATATCATTATCATTATCATTGCAAAGTATCCATCATCCATCCGATCCGTGAAAGCACATGATGATTGTTGAAGACTTCTTCAATTGCACAATCCAACCTTTGGATTCTTTCCATTCATTGTACTCGGTCCTTTCCATCTCAGGATTCATCATCACTCTTATAATCATGATGGATCAAGTTAAAGCCATAAAATCCATGGATCCTAGTTGAGTCTCCCATGCCGTCCAAAATCCATCTCAGACCACGCAACTCCCGAGGAAAAAAGAGAGGGATGCACCCCACAATGGTGGGGTAACAGCCAAAAACAAAAATCAGATGTCAAAATGTAGTGTAAGTGTAGACTTGGGACATTTCCAAAAAGATCTATCTGCATTGTATTCGTGATCAAACATTTTTATTGATTTCAATTGATCAATTATCTATTTCCTCTCTGCACTCAATTCTCAATTCTCAATTCTTACCTCTCAATCCTCAATTCTTACCTCTCAAAATCAAATCAATTGAACATATCTAATTCTCAACCCAATTCCCTTTTGCATGCCGTCACCCTTCTCCCCACCCAAAATCACAAATAAATACCGAGGACAAAATTCCCTTCCGCACCTTCCGAAAGAAGGTTTTTACACCACATCTTCAAGCCATCCGATCCAGATCATCAGTAACTGCAGACGAAAGAAGAACAAATCACTTGGGTCTCCGAAACGGACCGAATAAACGTGGTCCATCTCCCATGACTTTCTCCCTGACATCTGCAGAATGCGCACGATGGTACCTGATCACCCGGATCATAAACCACGTGCTTTGAACCGCGTCGGAAAAGGATTTCCGTTTATGCGCTACAATCAGGACTTGTTTACATTGGAAGAGTGTATATTGATTGTTGCTTTGGTCCAGGATTTTAAGAACGGAATTTGAATTCATGGTCGGGATAAATCGTCGCGACTTTTGAACTTTGAACGGTGCGAAGGAAGGAACTGGTTTGTCCCTCCCGATGGATTTCCTACTCGCCCTCACTCTGAAGAATAAGAAATGAAGGAAAATGTGCAGATAAGTTGAGAAGAAAAAACCTTGTCATGCCAAACTTCAGCACAAAAAACAATTCACAAACCCACAAAAATACAAATACTCAAAGACAGAGATCTGACAAAATTCCACATTTCATAAACTCTCCATCGAAGCTTAGAAAGAATGAAGATCTTTGGAGAGAGACCCTCTATCATCTTAATGGGATTGATACACATCGAGAAAACAAATTCTCAATCATCTCTTCTCCTCTTCAATCGCAGTACATCTATTCCTTGTATAGACATTGGGGTTTCGATAATCGTTTTACTATCCTCGCAATAGCATCTTCCATCTATGCTACTCAGCAATTGTACGATGCGATACCATAGAAAGGATATCATATCTGTACCTGTACTTCCCGGCATTCCATCCATCCATCCATCCATCCATCCATCCATCCATCCATTCAGACAGACAGACTAAAGTATCTACCTACCTATCTACCTACCTACCTACCCACCTCACCAAATGAAAATAAATCAACACTTTACCTACTCGCACGTCTATTCTTCATCTCTCAGCGCACACCACACATCACCCATCTTGCACCCTAAAATCCCACCACTTTCCACGTACAGAAACACGCCACACACACCCTCCCACAAGAAGAAACCGGATACACCTTTCAAACATCGCTCATCCCATCATCCGCCTCTCCCCTCACCTCCTCTCCTCTTTTCTCCATTTCCCCCAAAGCAACCAACCCACAAAAGAAAACCCAATCAAATCCCCTACAAACCTCACCATTCACCCGAAACTCCCCGCTTCCCCTGCCCCCTTCTTTCTCTCCCCATACAATTAGGCAGCGTAACTTCCTTCCATCTCGATATAACTCGCACTTTTGTTACACAACCCTCATTCATCAACTCCACCCCCCAATTTCCACACACCAACCATTCTCACCATTCCAACTCCATCACACATCCTCATTCACACATCCTCATCCACCACCTCCATTCCCATCTCCACACAACACCATACCTACTCTACACTACCATCCATATCCATCCATATCTCTGTTGCACATCGCATCATTCACCCACCCTTCTCCATATAAACTCCATTAATTATTAAAATGCGCTTTATTACACATCGCACCATTCACCTACCTCTATGCATAAAGCTTCCCATCTGCTTGACTGAATGATATATACATATCCACATGTATTCTCATCGCACCTCTCACTATCTACTAGATGTGCATCGCTTGCCGGATACTGATATTGAATATCATCTCATACCATATCATGTACGTCATTCTCGCAACCTCCATCTCTTTCCCGCGACGATGCTACTTCATCATATAAACAATTTTTTGTATGAAGCTTTAAAGAAAACCTCTCGTAGCAGAGCAAATCCAGACTCGAAATCAAATAGTCCCAGGCTACTAATCTCCAACATTTCGCGCGCTTATGCGAAATGGTGAAGGGGAGAATGTGTATCGCCAAATTGTACACAAGGCTGAGTAGGTATTTATACCAGATAATTCTAGAGATGCGAGGTAGATAGATATAAGTATTGAATTGAATTGCATTGAAATGAATTGACCGGGAGAGCGAAAGCTTAATGTGTGCGTTATCTGTCTTCCATCTCAGGCGCTTTAGCTGACAAACCTACTCACCATAAGGATATGCCGCCTGCAATAAAACCCAACATAATAGCAAAGTCAAAGTAAAGCTCTGAAATAACCAGAGCAGCGAAGCCAGAAATAAACTTAACACATCCAAACTAGCAATCAGCATATTGGCCCCGACCTCACAATCAAGAATTCCGTTAAGGTTACCGAAGCAATAAAACGCACAACAAGCTAATCCATGAAACACCTCCAATCCAACATCCCAAAAACCCAACCCATTGACGAATCAAAACACAGCAGCTTTTCGTATTCCGGCAGCCGCCCATTTTTATCCGGAAGCTTGGCATGCCCAGTGCAGGCGTGCAAGGATGATCCAAGCACGAATGTTTTAGGTATTGAGAGGTTCGTTGGAGAGGGAAAACAGCCGAGATAGTGAACCCCTGGTTCCTGTATCAACGTTGAGGTTGTTCATGGGTTGCTTGGATAGATGGTAATGAGGCTGGTGGGTGGTGCTTTGAGTTGAAGACATGTGGTAGAGAGTTGAATTGTCAGCGCTTCATATATGCCACATGCATGGATTTTGGTGTTGCAGAAATCGATGTATCGCAACTCTTTCAGGGCTTTAATTTGTGAACGTTGCTTTGGAGAGATAATGTGATGGTCGAAGTAGACTCTATCGAAAATGTGAGCACATGTACTAATCTCAGAGTTTCGGTGTACCGATATTCTTGGAATATGGTGCTGGATCTGGATATGTTTGTGATTCAGTTGTGCGAAAATCGATATCCATCTTCGTGAATATCTTGAGTGCGTAATTCTCATACTGAGAAAGGTTGATGGTTCTAAAAATGTGTATGCCGCACACAGAATAAAGAGGAAATAAAACGAAAAAAAGAGAACACTGCATTAACATTCATGACACGAACCACATCGGGTACTGCTCCTCACTGAATTGCAAAGCACTTGACTTGAATTCCAGACTTCCCTTGAACAGATGTTTCCAGATCATGGATCTAGTAAGAAGCAACGCAAACACTCGATCGCTGAATTAAATGGGTTGCAAATGAGAAATTAAGGATGATGAACAAGAGAAGTATCAAGATCCCAATCCATCACCATCATCCGTAAAGCACGGCGTCTCCGAACCATTGATATCTATGTTGCAAAAGAATCAAAACCAATATCACATAGGTGATACTATCACCATGCAGATATCCTTAAGAAGATACGTGCACTCTCCATCGACTGGTAGAAAGGAATCCAAAAATCTCGGAGGAATTGGATGGTGATAAGACTACTACACAATCACCACTGACTCGTAAGCTTGTATTTATCACACCAATACTCTATACTTCGAAGCTGCATCTTTGATTGGACAATTGCGAGTAAAATCATCGGAATCGATGCTGTAAAGATGATGCCAAGGTAATTCATGTAATCGCTTGGGTGTTACAACGGATTAGTAACAGGCTGTAGAATCACCAACTTATAGGCTATAATGGTATTATAGGCCTCAGTGATTCAGCTGCAATATACCAGGAGACACTAGGTATTTAAGGAAAGCCTTAGGTATATATATAATATTAGTTATAGGATATTTTAGAAATCTAGAATATAGTTTCCAGAATAATAGGTTCTAGAAAAGATAGAATACAATAAGCAAGAAGGCTTTACTAGAATTAGTAATGTTTTAGGGGA